CGAGTTGGTGGACGCGGTCGAGTTCTGGCCGCTTCTTCCCGAGGCCGCCCGCGGAACTTTGCATTTCCCTTCCGAGACGCTTACCGACTACGCCGGTGGCCTCTTGCGACACTGGACCTTTTGGACATGTACCAGACTTCCGACTACATGGAGGCTTTGGCTTGGACTTCCGAAGGTTGCGCGGCCAGGTTTGCTCGGCTGCTGCAGACAGACGCAGTCGTGCGGGCCTACCTTTGCCTCGATGAGCCCGGCAACGACGAGGACACAGGAGAACGTGGTCTGGTGCTACACATACTGCACACATGCAGCGGCGTGGAGGCCAGCGTCTTCGTGCCCGACAGGTTTGTCGATCCCATCGGGGCTATCTTCTAAGGAAGGTTCGATTCTGTTAGCTCGCTACACACTTTCCTCGCAAGCTCTATCGCCTTTCGCGCGCTGTCCTCCGCCACAAGTGCGGGCTGGCGACTATTCAGAGGATGCACATACTCTGCAGCCGTCCGGACCCTGCGGCGCAAAAGCTTGGCTGTCCGGGCTTTCGCTACGAGCCGGCTGCCAGCAGTAGCAGCTGCGTCGCTTCTTGTCGGCTTGCACGTCTCTCTAGGCATTGCTTGTCGATGTCGGTCCCGGCATGTCACTTTGCATCTGCCGCAGCTACTTCTTGCTCGAAACCTTGCTTCTCTAGTTCGGCTCCTGGCCATGGATCTTGCCGTTGCTTTGCGACCTCTGTCGACCTTACACCTTGGCCTCCTGGCACGCTGCTAATTACGCCGTCAGTCCGGAGGCTTGCCGCGCTGGCGACGCAGCAGGCCTTCTTCAGAAGCAGTTTGGTCTGGCTCTCCACGAAACTGCCGTGGCCGAGATTTATGCACGCCTGGAGCAGCACCATGCGGCTGCGCCCGGGTTCTTAAAAAGTTTCGGGCGCGCCCTCGAAGTACCTGTTAAGGTTGAGAGTTTCGAGGGTGTTGAAGTTAGGGTCGTTAGGGTTCAGGGTAGCGGGTTTAGGTTTCGCGGCTTAAGGCTTAGGGTTTGAAGTTCAGCCGGAGACACCATGCCCGAAACTCAACCTCGGGGAAAGAAGTAGCCTAGGATTCATTGTCAATGTTTCGGTTGGTGCTTACTAGTTCTTGTGGCTTTGTTGGTCTTGCACCTATGTTGATATTTGAAAGTTTCAGAAAACAAGAGACGCTACTGTAAAGAAGCGCTTCCTCTTCTATCCTCAGCCTTGCAGCCCTAAGCCACAAGACCCTCAACCCTGAGTCCTGAAACGCCTAAAACCCTAAAGCCCTAATATAGGGGCCTAAATAGTTACTTATACTACTTTGGGGGGCCCTTATTATAATTGTACTGTAAAGGGCCCCAGAACCCTATTCTAATTATTAAGGCCCCTACATTAAAGCACCAAGGACATCATCTCGCATAACTCTGCCATCAGCGCGTGCAGCAAGGACCTGCTTCGGGCTTTCAAGCTTTTTTTGTTGATACGTTTAAAGTTTAACACGCTTTTAGTGCTGTCTAGGAGCGGTTCTATAGGGTTGTACATATTGTTGTTTCAATGTTACCAGTAGCATTATTTCGGCTTTTTTAAATCAAGGCGTGGCAATTGGCTTGCACAGCATCTCACAGGGTTCCCAAACGTCTGTCTCACGGAGCTCGATGTTTCCCACAATATTAAGGATTAACTATAGGGCCTGACCTGGAAGCATGAATAGTTGGGCCTTGGTATTGATAGGTTTGTTGAGGGCTGGGGTTTTATCATCGAGGGCCGAAATGATGAGAACAGGTGGGTTTACACTTGCCAGAGGGTGTATGGTGCCAGGGAAGACGGCCCTGAAATGAACATCGTAAAATCCTTCGTTTAAGGCCTACAAAGCTGCGGAACCGTTCAACAAAAATGCATTGAAGCCACGACATGTAGAACTCATTCAACATCATTTCCAAGGAGCCCCCCGGCAAATACCACAAGAGCAGTACAACCTGTGACATGCAAAACGGGCAGACAGCCTTGCAGTGCACATCGTAAAAAAAAAACCGAACAGCACCCTATGCCCGAAAGCCAACACCCTTGCCCGTCGAAGCTCCAAAATCCTCAACCCTGAGCCCTAAGCCCTAGGCAACAAAGACCAGTTTGATTCTTCGACCATTAAATTGGTTCCCTGTTGGCGTTATATTAAAGGTTTAATCCTTGTTGGGTGTTACTATAGCAAAAATGTAAAGTTGTAATCAACAAGGACCTAGGAAACAGCGAACCCGCAACCCATGGTTTCAAGCTCTCAACCTGCAAAACAGAGGTTCGAATACTGCATGACCATATCCCTTCGTTGGCCCTGTACACTTACACGACAATTTGCCCAAAGCCATATTCCAAAACCCTAAACCCTAAACCCAATCAGAATCATAAAGCTCTGTACACGATATAACAATACCAAGGAACCTCCAAAAGCCCCAGGAGCACCCGATGAGACTAATGTGGGGGCCTAAATAGTTACCAGTACCATTTTTTCTGAGGGGGGAGTGCCATAAAATAACTATATTGCAATACACCCCAAACACCTATTTTAAGAATTAAGGGCCCCCTAGAGTATAGAAATCCAAAAGCCACGGGCCTGTGGGAGGCGGAGCAGTGGTCTTTGGCCCTCTCGGTCCTTGCGGGTCTCGACGCGGTGTCCCTACAAGGCCGGGAGGGTTTAGGGTTTAGGGTTTAGGGTTTAGGGTTTAGGGTTTAGGGTTTCGGGAGCTTGGGGTTCCGAGTTTAGGGTTGGAGCTTCAGCCGGTGTTTAAGAACTCCCATGACCTAAACTTTGACGTATGTGTGTGGCTCTTGTCGCTGTCGCTCTTGTCCCTTTCGCCCGTTGAAACTGCATCATGCAACGGATTTGGGCGACTTGGCCCCCTTTGAACCCGCAGGGCCCTCTTTTTAGATGATTTTCTGCTTGGGATGTTGCTTAGGCCTCGGGTTTTTCAGGTCATTTCTAGGCCTTCGGACTTTTTGGGTTCGGGATTTCAGGCTGCAGGTTCTGGGAAAACTTGCTAAGTGCTGTGCATTGTGGCGCCGACCCGGCTCATGCTACTGGTAGTATCACTTTTAGGGTTTAGGGTTTAGGGTTTACACTGCTTCTGCAGTTGCTAGAACTACCACTAGCACCAGCCCCTGATTTGCTGCTGCTCCCGGCTTCTGTCGTGCTACTGTGGTGAGGCAGGATTTTAAACCGTGGCAGTCTTGGGCGTAAGACTAGTGAGAAGACCAGAAGTCACACTACTTGGCAGTTAATGTAGGGGCCTAAATAATTACCTATAATATTTTGGGGGTTCCATATTATCATTATGTTATAGTATAAGATACCCCAAAACCCGATTCTAATTATTAAGGACCCTATATTCATTAGTGTCCATTGCTGTTCTCATATGCCTCCTTTCTAAGGACTTTAGGAGGGACCCCGAATAGGGACCCTTAATTCCCATTACCTTAAATAACCAATAGTCCTTATATACCCCTTGTACAGCCAAGTAGTCTCCATATTAACCCCAATATCCTACAAGGGTCCCTATTAAGGGTCCCTCCTAAAGCCCTTAGATAAACCCGTAACCCCAAATCCTAAAACCCTAAACCCCAAACCCTAAACCCCAAACCCTAAACCCCAAACCCCAAACCCAAAAACCCTAAACTAATATGCCTCCATGCAGGCACCGTTGTCACATTCGGGGCAGCTTTGGACGCTTGCGCCCGGGCAGGCGCTTGGCAACAGGCGGGATGCGGTGCCAGGCTTCGGGTTTGGGGTTTAGGGTTTAGGAGTATACTATAGGGGCCTAAATAATTACCTATACTGTCTTGGGGATTCCTTATTATAACGGGCCCCAAAAAACCCTATTCTAATTACTCAGGCCCCTATATTCTAGCCTTGGGTGTAACCCACAGCGCACACACACAGACACTTATAAACGCACACACACACAGATATATATATATATATATATATATATATATACATATATAAGTACATGCATCCATGCATCCATTCGTGCATGCATGCATGCATGCATGCATGCATGCATGCATGCGTGCATACCGCAGAGACATGTCAATCTTATGGGATCTAGCTAGGGCAACCTCTGAAAGCAGTCGAAAAGGAGGGCTGTATCCTAGAGATCCCATTTCTTTTGTCAGATGTATACATATAGATACATATGCATACACATGCACATACGTACACACCATCCACAAACATACATGAACATAGACATACATACATTACATTACATTACATTACATTACATTACATTACATTACGTTACATTACATTACATTACATTACATTACATTGCATTGCATTACATCACATTACATGACATGACATGACATGACATGACATGACA